CCGTTCTCTTGGATTCAAAAGTGGCTTTGGGCGCGACCGCTCACGGGCGCAGTAGCTCTCCTGGTCTATCTCACGTTCTTTCGACCACTTTGCCCTATGTGATAGGAGGAGGTTTATATATGGGAGGCATGTACGTGCCTACGGACGTGCACAGGGCCGACGACCCCACGCGGAACCGTGCGGTGAGGCCCCCGTCCCGTGACCCTCCCGCCTGGTTAGTTGAAGCAGAGAGAGGAGAATTTACTCGCTTTGATTGCATTGCGTACGCCGACTCCCGCTCGTCATTCCCTACTTGTCTCTGGGGCCGATTTGTTGCGCAGCTTGTGGCTCGAGGCCCCGAGGGGCTGCTCAGCCACCGCTGGGCGGCCGCCCCCCCCCCCTCGGAGGGCGCGGGGATGGCCGCCGACGCCGCCAGCGACGGCGCCCAGGGGGAGGCACCTGACCCCTCGGGCGCCGCCGAGAGCAGCAGTGAAGCTGCTCTCGCCAGCGGAGAGCGTCGCGGGCCTCGCAACGCGCTCTTCGCTGACAGCGAACGGCCTCTCGCGTCCTCGGCAGACGCCACGCCAAAAGCGTCTGCCTCCGCGGAGGGCGGCTCGCCCGGCCCCGACCCTGGCGCCGCCAGCGCAGGATCGGCTCCCCAGGCCGCCAAGCGTGCTCCGCCACTGGCCCTCCGCTCCAAGGCCGCGGCGGCCCCTCCGCCTGCTATCGGGGTGGGCTCGTCGCGCGTCGGCTCGCGGGAAGCGCCAAAGGGGGCCTCAGCAGCTACCCCCCGCACCTTCCAGCGAGCGGCCAGGGTGAGCGCCTCTCGCCAACTGCTTGGCGTAGTGGACGGGGCCTCGCGCGGCACAATTGAGGCCGCCTTCAGGCGCCAGTCCCTAGTCTACCATCCAGACAGGACTCCCGCGCACCTGGGCGCCGACGAGCGAGCAGCCCGCGCGCTGAAGTGGAAGCAGCTCTGTGACGCCAAGTCAGTGTTGCTCCAGGCCGTCTCGCAGGCCGCCGCGCCGCCCGATGTTCCTAGCACGGGCGGCGACGGTCCTGCCGCCCGCGCCTACGCCCGGGCCAAGGCGGCAGGAAAGGGCGCCCGCAAGGGCAAGCTGGCTCCAGGGTCGACCATGGCCCTTCAGGCGCTCGAAGAGGCGGTCTCCTCGCGGGTCGCCCTTGCGAGCGCCGAGCTGGCCCCTCGGGCTGCCCTCCCCGCCTCGGGCGCGCCTCTCCCGAGGGGCGGGGTTTCGTCTGCCCTCGCGACGCGGGCGGCTGAGTCGGATGCCACCCTCGTCTCCGCCGTGTCGCGCGGCCGCGTGGAGCTCGACGCACTCCGCACCGCGCGTGCCGACGCCACCAGGCGCACGGTGCAGGCTCCTGCACGCGGCGAAGGAGAGCGTGCCGTCGCTCGTGCCGAGCTCGCGGAAGGGATGGCCGATCGCGCCTACTTCCGACGCGTGCGCGAGGCCGCCAGTCGAGAGGCCGCGGGCTTGCCGCGCACTGCTCCCGTCCAGCTGGGTCGGGATTGGCGCAAAACCTTGCGCGCCGTCCTGCGCAACGCTGAGGTCTCGACGGGCCTCGCCATCGCAGAACGTGCCGCTCGTGCTGGGGACGCACCCGCGTCGTCCACTGGCCGCTCCTTGGCCGAGGTGGAGGCTGAGGACCCGCGCGCCTTGGCAAGGCCCGCCGACGACCCTGCGTCCAGCTTCAGCCGTCGTGAGCGGCGCGCGGTCCGCGCCCGCCTGGGCCCGCGGGATGAAGCGGTCGAGGACCAGCCCAACCGCGGTGGTCACGCGCCGCACTCCGCCTCGCGCACGGGCGCCGCGCGCACCAGGCGCGCCGCCAGGCAGCGGCGGGCTTCGATGGCGGCGCTCCCCGCCCCTGAGGGGGGGGCCGCCACGGCGCCTGGCCGCAGGGCGCGTCGCACTGCCAATGCGCGCCGCTGGGCAGGCGCGGCACGCCCCAGCTCCGCCGCGGGAGTGGGCTCCCCACCGCGGAGCCGCAGCCCTGCCCGCAGCCGTACGCGGTCTCCAAACCCGTACGGGACCGACCGCACCTCTCCCTCGGGGGGCTGCTCGTCGCCTCCCGTCGACGGCCCGATCTCGCCCGAGGAGCCGTCGGAGCCGCCTGCGGGGGAGGCATCGGAGGGCCCGCACACTCCTGACGGGTCCCCGCCCGCGAGCGTTCGCAGCCGCTCGAGAGCGGAGCCCGCGTGCGACGAGGACTCTCCGACGGAGCTCGAGGACGTCGTGCTGAGTGCCCTCGCAGACTCCTCGATGGACCTCGAGCGCGTCGTGGCGGGCCTGAACCCCGAGGTCCTCCGCCGCCTGCAGGCGGCCTTCCCTCGCCGCTCGGGGGCCTCTCCGCCCGCCGCTCGCGCCTCGGTTCGCAGTCGCTCTCGGGGCCGCGGCACGCGTGTAGGCTCCGAGACTCCGCGGCCCGTGCCCCCGCCGCCGCCGCCGCCCCCTCACCACTCTGGTGGGCGTGCGGCGTCGCGATCCCGCGCGTCGACCGCAGGCCAGGGGCTTAGTCGGGCCGTCGCGCGCGGCTCCTCTCGCGCGCCTTCGCGTCAGGCGACGTCGCCTCGGCGTCGCGAGGTGCGCTCCCCTCGAGTCGCTCCGAAGCGGCGCCCGAGCCCCGCTACTGCGCAGCGGCCAGCCACGTCCCGCCATGGTGCGAGCTCGGGCGACGCCCACGCAGGCAGCTCCCGCGCGGACTCCGCTGCTCAGGCCCCTCAGTCTTCGGTAGGCACGCGCTCCTCCAGCGATGCTGTTGCGGCCCCGCAGGGCGGAGGGCGTGCCGCCGAGGAAAGGGGGTCTTCGAGCGGCCCCGCGCCTGGCCGAGATTCAGGGCACGAGCTGCATCCCAGCGGCTCCCACAGCGGCGACGCTGGGAGCGCCGCGGCTGCAGCCTTCGCAGCGCGGCGCACGGCCTCCGCGGCCGTTGAGCAGCCCTTGCCTCCAGGGGCCGCCACCGCCCTAGCGTGGCGTCTCAACCTCGGCGGTGAGAAGGTCACAGTGGTGAGGTGGGGACCCGCCTGGCAAGCTGCCTTCCAGAGCGCGGCGTCGTGGCTGAGGTCTTTCGCACCCGCAGGGGCCGCCGAGCCCGAGGGCAGAGATGACCTGCACTGCCTCCTGCAGGCCTTGCACGCCTATAAGCGCCTGTTTCAGACAGGCGGCGCCGAGCCGATCGACGAAGCCTCGTGGTTGCATCCTTACGTGGCCGCCGTCGAGCCCGAGGCTATCCCCGCGGGCGCTGACCTCCAAGCCATGGGGGCGGGCGCCATCCGTGGCATCGGGCTCGGCTCAAAGATCGAGCACAGGAGGCGCGCGGGCAAGTTGGCCTGCCTTTTCGACCTTCTGTACCACGTGCAGGACGGTCACGGCGCCATCCCAGCAGCGCTGTGGGGATCTCATTCCCCTCCGTCCGAGATCCTCGACGCGTTCGCGGAGGTGGTGCCCGTTCCACATCATTCGGGCCTCACGTCCTCGGCAGCTCGTTCCGAGCTCGCCGAATCGGCCGCAGCTGCGCGCGCCGAGCCGCGCCCGCCCTTTGACTGGGCGACCCTCGAGGGAGGGGACGCTCTGCCCGCCGAGATCGAAGCAGGGGCTCGCCGTGCTCACCGTAACATGGGCGGATCCTTCACCTCGGCGCGGGCGATGCTGGCGGAGGCGTCGGGGTTCGAGACCGACGGGCGGGACACCCTCGTTCCGCCCTTCTACGCGTCCAGGAGCAGGAGGGCCGCCACGCTGATCAGCTCTCCCAGCCCTGGCCGCCCTGCGCTCGTCCTGTGGTGCGTCTGCGGCCTCTGCATCTCTCTGGGAGCCGCGGCGCCGACCGCTTCCTTGCGACCGCCTCGAAGTTGAAGGGGATGCTTTTCTTTCGATTCTTGTTCCAAAGACCAGGAGAACGTACCCGACGCAGCATGCTCGCTGCTCCGATCGGGGCACGGTGAAGATTCTGAATCAAGTGTTTGGGCGGTTGGCTTCCACCGATCCTCTCGCCCCTTTCGGTGCGAGCGGCTTCCGTACTCGGTGGAATCATTTGCTTTCGGCCCTGGGCGTCCCTCTTGCCAAAGCGGGTCAGGGGCTCAACCTGACGCCCGCATGTCTGCGGGGCTCTGGCGCAACAGACTTCTATATCGCTACGGAAGACGTCCCTCGCGTCTTCTGGCGGGGGCGTTGGCGTCAGGCTTCCAGTGCTGAGCGCTACCTGCAAGCCGCCGCCGCTTCCACAGTTCTTGCTGCGCTGCCCGTGCCCGCACGGGCGCGGATCCTGTTCTTCGCCACCGCCAGCGACCGCCTTGTCGCTTCATTTCTCCAAGTCGGCCCCGCCGCTTGGCCTGCCCTACTTGCGGCCGCCCGCCGAAACCTTGTCACTTCGCAAGGTCCTTGAGCACGGGTATGGCTGCCTCGCCGTCGTCGGCGAGCAGGCGGTCTCCCCCGCCTGACGCGCGGCGCCCCGGCACGAGCGCGCGGGACGGGCCTGCCCATTTTGGGCCGCCCCGCGCGCGCGAGCCGCGGCCGCGCTCGGAGACAGCTCGCTAGCGCGCGAGCGGGAGAATGCCTCTTCTATTCTCTGTGAGCAAGCTCCTGCTGTCTCCGCAGCTTCTCTGCCCCCCTCCCTCCTCTCCCAATCTAAGGCTGATGGGCGCTGCCTCGCCGTCGTCGGCGAGCAGGCGGTCTCCCCCGCCTGACGCGCGGCGCCCCGGCACGAGCGCGCGGGACGGGCCTGCCCATTTTGGGCCGCCCCGCGCGCGCGAGCCGCGGCCGCGCTCGGAGACAGCTCGCTAGCGCGCGAGCGGGAGAATCCTTCTCCTCCTTCTCCTCCTCCTCCTCCTCCTCCTCCTCCTCTCCTCCTCCTCCTCTCCTCCTCCCTCCTCCTCCTCCTCCCCCTCCTCCTTCTCTCCTCCTCCTCCTCCTCCTCCTCCTCCTCCTCCTCCCCCTCTTCCCTCCTCCCCCTCCTCCTCCTCCTCCCCCTCCTCCTTTCTCCTCCTCCTCCTCCTCCTCCTCCTCCTCCTCCTCCTCCTCCTCCTCTTCCTCGACCCCCCCATGGCGCAACGCCCGATGCTTCCTCGATTCGGGAGAGTCGGGTTCGCATGTCGCCGCCTGCGCATGCGGCCCCAGGGCCGCGGCGGCCGGCCGCGCGCGTGGGCGTGCCTCGTGCCCCGGGGCAGTCTGGCAGCGCAGCCGCCTCCTGGGCAACGATACCAGGCCTCCCTCCCTCCGCCAATCCATCCCCCCAACCCCTTCATCCCTCCCTCCCCCTCCCCTCCATCTCTCCCCTCCATCCCTCCATCCCGTCCCTCCCCCCCCTTCCCTCCTTCCATCCCCCCATACCTTCCTTTCCTCCCTCCCTTCCTCCCCTCCCTCCCCCCCCCGCGGAAAGACCCACGGGAGCCAGAGTTTCCCCCCCCCCCCCCTCTTCGCCAAGGGGGACGCGTGGGGACGTAGGGGTGGCTTTGAATTAACGAGCATGAATTACACCAAGGGGGGGCGACTGAAAAACCGACACGACATAGGAGGAGGAGGAGGAGGAGGAGGAGGAGGAGGAGGAGGAGGAGGAGGAGGAGGAGGAGGAGGAGGAGGAAGAGGAGGAGGAGGAGGAGGAGGAGGAGGAGGAGGAAATCCGTCTTGTTGTTCAGCGCGACGCTGTCGCCCTCGATGTCCAGGCGCTCCTTGCCCAGTTCTGTCTGATGAGTGAGGTTGGCCGCGAGCCTTGATTCTGTCTGCGCGCCGTGCGAGAGATGGAGCGCACGGCGATGGTGCGAACCGCGATGACAGGCCGATGATTTGGGCCTTCAGGCATGGGAGTGAGGAGGAGGAGAAGGAGGAGGAGAAGGAGGAGGAGGAGGAGGAGGAGGAGGAGGGAAAGGGGGGAGGCGCAAGGCGCGTGCGGCAGCAGGGGCGGCCAGGCAGGGGTGGGGAGAGGAAAGGAGAGGTGCGGGCAGGGGCGGGGGCGGTCGGGTCGGCGGTGGTGGTGGATGGCGGCGGCGGTTGTCGTGCTGGTGGCGGTTGTGGTTGCGGCGCTGGTGGCGGTCGTTGTGGTTGCCGCACCGGCGATGGTTCAGCTGGCGGTGGCCGTGCCAAGGGGCCGCCGGCCTAGCGCCCGAGCGCGCTCAGCAACATCTCAGTATTACCCCTTTGGAGGGTTTTGCTGATCTGCCGCCAGAGGCCGCCCAGCAGCTCGGTCGCCGTCGTCGAGGCCGAGTCCGTAGCTGCGGACGAAGCTGGCTGCTTCGTCGCTGGGCCGGCCCACCGTCTCGAAGACTAGGGGGACCAGCTCGCCCCCGTACGGGGGGTACCGCTCCCGCTTCTGGTCCACCGCCTGGGCGGCCGCCAAACCATCCTTGTCGGCCCGGGCACCCCTGCGTGGAGCGTAGGTTGAATGTACGCAGGTGATGTTCCAGTCGACGTAGACGTGGCGTTCGGTGGGTGGAGAGGTCCAGAACCGCTTGCTGGAACACTCCCGTGCGGGGGTGTCGGCGATCCCAGGCGGGAGCGGATTGCTGCGTGGGCGCGGCAAATCCGGTGAGCTCGGCGTGCTTCGCAGAGTGCAAGTCGCGGCAGCTGTTGTGGCGTTTGTTGTGGGACTCACCCACCTCGCACTTGACTGCGTGCCAGCCGTGCGGGTCCAGGAGCTCGTTGCACAGGCTGCCGTCCTGGCGGCGGTGCTGGCAGCGTGAGCCAGGCGGGCAGACTGGGATGCAGAGGCGACGCTTCAGGTTGCCGCAGAAATGCGGGTCAGGCTGGCGGGGGTCGTCTGGCTGGCGCGGGAGGAGCCAGCTGCGGGCGCCCGTGCCTCCGTTCTCCCGCAAGCGTAGGCGGCGGTCCTCATCGAGCGTCCGCAGCAGCTTCTCCCTGTTGGCCGCGGAGGCTGTCTTGCCCCAGTGGATCTGGAGCTTGGGCCGTGGTTTTGCTGTGCAGCCTATCCAAACGAAAGGCGCTTGGAGGGCGTCTGCTGCCCGGAGAGCTGCCTCCGCCTGGTCGAGCGTTTGTTGAGTCCGCGGGCAACGGGCTCTGAATTCCTCTAGCGAGCTGGCTCCGAGGCAGGCCATCACGTCGTGAAGAAGGAGGGCCCAGCTAGCAGCGTCGGCAGCAGGCGCCGTCTGGGTAGCCGAGGGGAACGCGCATCCGCCGTCGGCAAGGCGCAGCGTGGCCAGGAGCCGCTGGTGGGGGTCCAGGGTTCCGCCGGCGATCTTCTCCAGGCAGCCGAAAAGAACGCGGTTTGGCTGCTCCGTCCAGGCCCCCCTGCAGGTTGGCGCGGAGGCGGTGCGTGACGCATCCGCGGGCGGAGGTCTGCAGGAGAGCGATGGCGCTCTCGGCCCGCGGGCCGCCTGTCGCAGCTCCTTGCAGGCGGGCGGCGAACGACAGTCACCCTGCCTTCTGCTTCACGACAGTCACCCTGTCTTCCGCTTCCTCCTCGAAAGAAGGGTTGCAAAAGACTGCAAGAAAACCTCCTCGAACGAAGGGTTTTTTTGCAATCCTCCTCGAACGAAGGTTTTTTTTTTGCAATCCTTTTTGCAATCCTCCCCTGCTCAAGCCAGGGGGCAGTGTTCCCCAAACGCGTGGGGTGGTCGACCGGTCGACCCAGCGCCCCTGAACAGTGGCGGGCACATGGCCGCGCCCCCCCCCGCGGACCATGCCCGTGTCTTGGTGAGGTTGGCTGCGAGTCCGTGTCGGGTGAGGGTGTCGGTCACGACCTGTTCCCGCTGGAGCGCTGGCCTCATTTTCGGGCTTCCGCTCGTTCCGAATCGTGCTCCCGCTGCAGCGCTGGCCTCATTTCCGCTCCCGCTGCTGCGCCGGCACTTCTTCCAAGTGGGCCCAAGCATATAGAAAATGCCTCCCGACAAAAACCATCGGAAGTGATTCCACATTCGGTATCGATTCGTTCGTTTTTGGTGGCCGCAGAAGCCCCCCCCCCACTTTGGGGCGTCGTTGTTTTTTGTTTTCAGGAAGTATCAAGCGGGAGCCCAGTTTCTACTTTGAGGAGGCGATGTTGGAACCAGAGCCAGCGGGTGCTCTCCATCAGCCCCGCCTTGTGTGGAGTTTTCCGGGGGGACCAAGGAGCTAAACATGGAGCCACGATTCCAGACCGGCCCAGACCTTTCGAAGACGATCCACCTACCTTCCAAGGAACCCTGCGCCATGCCATGACATGCTGTGTGGTGTTGTGTTCTGCGCCGCTGTGCGATGCCAGGCCTTGCGTTGCAAAGCTTTGCGATGCAATGCTTCACTGCACAATGCCACCCCATGCCATGGTATGGTACGCTCTGCCGTGTTCTGATACGCCATAACATGCCGTGCTCTACTATGCATCGCGTGCCGTCTCGCGATCATTGCCTTGCTCGACGTCCGACTGTGCGAATAGATCGGATATCAACGCCATGGCCAGGGATGGGAGGCAGGGGCAGGACGCCAGTCATGACGCGAGCGCACCTATCATGCCTGCGTCCCCTCCCCTCCCTCCCCTCCCTCCCCTCCCCTCCCCTCCCTCCCCTCCCCTCCCTCCCTCCCCTCCCTCCCCTCCCTCCCCTCCCCTCCCCTCCCCTCCCTCCCTCCCTGCAGGCGCAAAGAAGACGCACGGGAGCAGAGGGCCCGAGCGAGCGCGCGGGCAAGCGCGCGGAGAGAGCGCCGCGCCCGCCGCCCGCCGCCGCTGCGACGTCGAGAAGCGGCTTCCGGGGGGGCGCGGCCAGGAGTGCTGGCCTGTTTTGAACCTTTCACGAGCACTCTTCTCCCGCCCGTTTCCCTCCCTCCTCGTCCCTCCTCCTCGTCCCCCCTCCTCCTCCTCGTCCTCCTCCTCCTCCTCCCACCTCCTCCTCGTCCCTCCTCCTCCTCTCCCTCCTCCTCCTCGTCCCTCCTCCTCCTCTCCTCCTCCTCCTCCTCCTCCTCCTCCTCCTCCTCCTCCTCCTCCGCCTCCTCCGCCTCCTCCTCCTCCTCCTCCTCCTCCTCCTCGCTCGCTCGCTCGCTCGCACGCTCGCTGACTGAGGGCCGATGAGTACGCAGCCTCGTCTGGGATGGTGAGAAAACAGGAGCACGACACAAGCGCAGGCTTGTTGTGACATCAGGGGTCCGCGCCAACCGCCACCCAGGACGTGCAGAGAAGCCACGGACCTACGTCAAAAACGGGTCCGAAGGCCTCCAGTGGGCAAGGCCAGGAGGGAGATCAATCGCCTCTTCGCTCATATGCTTGAGACCGCCCCTGCACCATACATCGCACACCGAGTCCGCCAACAAGCGGTACGGGCAAGCGGGGAGACCGACACACACAAACTCTCTTGCTGCATCTGCTCCCTGCCGTCACGCCCATGGTCCCCGTTGCACCTCCATCCCCCCTCCGCACGCATCCTCGTCGATAAAGTCGGAGCTGAGCTCGCCACGATGCAGAGAGCATCCCACACGGTCCCTATGGTTATGGCGCACACATCGCATTTAGTCACTTGGACCTGGGGCAGGGAGACAAGGGCCGAGAGGAGAGGAAGGTCGTCGAATCCCATTATGTGTCCAACCTGCTAGTCAGCAACAGTCAGCCAAGGGATACCCAGGGCACAGGCATGAGCGCACACGCAAATAACAGCCCGCATGCAGCCGTTCTGCCCATCGAGCACACATCGTTCCTGGAGGTCGCAATTCGGGCGCCCCCAAGGGTGCTCAGGAAGGCGCAGCTGCTTCACGCTACCGCGAAGAGTGGCAGCGAACCGGGGAACAACAAAAACATCCGCCAGCAAAGCAATCTTTCCTTGGCCATAACGTCAGTCCAAAACAGAACCTGTCCCAGGAAGTCATCCACCAAGACGTGAGCCACCGCAACAGGCACAAGCCTCTGATGCGAGCAGCTTTCAATACATTGTTGAAAGTCGCCGTCGCTTCTGCTGCCAGCGGCGACCAGCAAAACAAGGGGGCGGAAATCGTTGAGGGGTCTGGGCAGCGTCGGCGCAACACAGTCTGGGACCAAGACGTCCACAGAAGGAGCATCCACCACGCTGCCTCTGCCCTGTCCGTCTTTAGTGGCCAGCCTGGGCCCATGCACACGATAGGCGGCCTTGGCAGCATGCTGTTCGTGCCTCCCTCCTTCACGGGTATCTCCCTGCTGCGTGCTGCCGAGGTCCGCCCGCTCCCGTAGCTCCTCGGGCTTGGGCCTCCTGCCAGGGTCAGCCCACGCATCGCAACAGGCAGTCTGCTGTTTCAAATGCTTGATGAGGCGACCTCTCGTGTGAAAGACCTCCTTCTCATCCTCCTCCTCCTCCTCCTCCTCCTCCTCCTCCTCCTCCTCTCCCTCCTTTTCCTACTCCTCAGGACTTGGTCAGGAACGTCAGGGGGAGATCGTGCAGTTCAAATGCTTGATGAGGCGACCTCTCGTGTGAAACTCGAGCGTGCAAGTCTGGCAGACCGTCCCCGTGGCCCAGGTGGTCGGGCCCCTATCGCTGTCATGAGCTTTGCTCTTGTGAGTGGCCAGCCCTCTCTTGGTTTTGGCAACAAGCCCACACTCGTAACAGATTTGCTGGCGCTAGGGAGCGCCCTCACAGTCCAGAGCGGCAGAAGCCGGGGGAAGCACAACCAGTGTTTCACCACAGGGAGAAGTTCCTTGGCAGCCTGGGCCTGCTGTTGAACGAACAACTCCCGTTTGGCGGCCTCGGCAACTAAATTCAACAAGACCTTGGTGTGAGTGCGAGCATTGCCGATCCAACTCTCCGCCGTCCCACTGTGTGGGATATCAAGCTTGTTGACACAGCTGTTAAGCCAAACACGGTCCTCCTTCAGGGCCTGGTCCTCCTCCTCGTCCTCGTCCTCCTCCTCTTTCTCATTCCTCCTCGGAACCCTCCTCCCCCCTCCATCATCCTCCCTCCTCCTTCCCGTCCTCCTCGTTCTCCTCCTCATCCTCCTTCTCCTTCTCTTTCCTCCCCGAACACTCCTTCCCCTCTCCATCCGTCTCCATTCTCCATTCTCCTCCCTACTCCTCCTCCTCCTTCTCCTACTACTACTCCTAGTCCTTCTCCTACTCCTACTCCTTCTCCTCCTCCCCCCCTTCCTCCTCCTCCCCCCCTTCCTCCTCCTCCTCCTCCTCCTCCTCCTCCTCCTCCTCCTCCTCCTCCTCCTCCTCCTCTCGCTCCTTTTCCTACTCCTCAGGACTTGGTCAGGAACGTCAGGGGGAGATCGTGCAGCACCCTCGTTTCTGCGCAAGACGGATGCAAGGCAGTTCTTTTCAAATCGGGGCTCTCGCTTCAATGGTGTGTCAATCGGTTGCGGGTCTTTCACGGGGTCGCTTCCAGTCGTGGAACGGAAGGCTTGCAGGTTTCTGTGTCGGGGCTGGGGAAGGGAAGGCGTGTTGCAGCATTGCTGATGCGAGTTGGATTGGCTCTGGTCCTCCTCCTCCTCCCCCTCCTCCTCCCCCTCCTCCCTCTTCCTTCCTCTTCTTCCTCGTCCCTCCCTCCCTCCCTCCCCAGCACTCCGACCGTCGTGATTGTTTGGTAACGTGGGCCCCCAGAGGTCTGGACACCTTCCCCAGGACCATGTTCTCATCTCTTGGTAACGGTACCAGGGCCCTGTGAGGGCCAACGGGAGGCCGAAACCTGGCAAACACCGACCTTCGCGATTCGAGCAGGTGGGCGGTCCTTTCACCCCCTGAGATCCGACATTGCGGACAAAAATGCTGCATCGTAAAACAATCTCGACGGGAGCCCTAGACCCCATCTTTCTGCTGCATGTTTCGAGGCGGAAAGTTCTGTGATGGCCCCAGAGCCTGAAACAAAAAAAAAGGTGCACAGCGCGAAAACAAAGGCGACGCCATGTTCCCAGACCGCCAACGTCATGATTTGCTTCATAGCCTGGCCCCCCGATCTCATTCCCCAGGTCCCGCATCTCATTCCAAGTTGTTTTGTTGACAGTCCCGAGGCCCGGCGAGGGCCCCCGGAGGCCGAAGACTGTCAAAAAAATCCGTCGTGATTGCAAAGGCTTCACGGCCGGTGCTGCCGACCCTGAAGACGACGACGCTGTCCACGACGAGGTCGAAGGAGGAGGTCGTAGAAGGAGCATGAGGAGGAGCCGCATGAGGAGGAGGCGAAGGAGGGGGCGGCCTCTTCGGAGACTCCTGGGAGGGTGGCGGCGGCGACGACAACGACGCTGACGTGGGCCCGAGTCGAGAGGGATACTTCTTGGGGTCTCTTGAGAAGGCTCGCGGGGGCGTCTGGCGAGGAGCAGTGGGGACTCTGGGGAGCCTCTTGGAGGCCACTTGGGGGCCTTTTCGGGTGTCCGGGGGGCCTCTTGTGGGCTCCGTCGGGCCTCTCGAGAACCTCTGGGTGCCTCCCAGGAGCTTCTCGGGGCCGACAGCTCGAAATGTCCGTTCGGGGTCCCCGTGAAGGCACGCTCTTGGAGCCGTCTTGGGGGCGTCTGGGGCCGTCTTGGAGGCGTGTTGGGCTCTGTTGGGGTTCCCTTGGAATGTTTGGGAGCGCTCTTGGAAGCCTCTTGAGCCTTCTCGGGGTGATCTGGGGGGCCTCGTCGGCCGTCTTGGAGCGGTGGACCGCGGAAAAGGCGGGAATGCCATATTTTTTCAAAAACCGCAGGAAATTTAACGATTTGTGCCTCTTGGGGCCCTCTTGGCAGTGTCTCTGAAGGCCCCGGGGCGTCTTGGAAGTCTCCTGGCCGTCTGGGAGCCTGAAGGAAGACGTTTTGAATGGATTGGGGGCCCTCTTGGACCGTCTCGGGAGCCACCTGGGACGCTCTTGGCTTGCTTTGGTACTTTTTCCAGCCCCGGGACCCCCAGGGGGGTATGGGCATCTGAGACCCCCCCCGGACCCCCCCCGGACGGGGGAGGGAGCCAAGGGAAGGGGCTTCCCTTCGATTCGACTGCGACAGTGCGAGGTTTTCTCTCGCTGACGGGCTTGAGGATTAAGTCGGGTGCAGGGTGCAGGGGTGCAGGGGAAGGGCACAGGGGTGCAGGGGAAGGTGCCGAGACTGAGGGAGACGACGACTCGAACAGACAACCCCCCTCGCACACGCCGGCAGCCTTGAGATCCGACGTTTGGAAAAGCTGCAACATCGCGAAAAATCGTGCCCGGAGCCCCTGACCCCATCTTTCTGCGTCGCGTTTCGAGCCGGATCGATCCGGAGGGGCCCCGGGGCCCGACGTGGGGCGAGAACGCCCGGTGTGAAACAGTTGCAACGCCAGGATCTCCAGGACATGGGAGGATGAGGACGAAGGAAGGTGGGGTTGGAAGAGGGGGAGGAGCGGGAGGAGGAGGAGGAGGAGGAAGAGGACGAGGAGGAGGAGGAGGAGGAGGAGGAGGAGGAGGAGTAGGAGGAGAAGGGGAAGGAGGAGCCTGAGGAGGAGGAGGAGGAGGAGGAGGAAGAGGAGGAGGAGGGCTGGCGGATTCCTGCCACGACTCGCAAGTGGTCTGGGACGGCAGGGCCCCCCCTCGCAGCCATTTTGTGGAGGCCCCCGCCCGGGCCTCGGCGCGGCCCGCGCCGCCCCTCGCGAGGCGGCCTTCAGTCAGACCCTTAAGGGGCAGGCCTAGGAGGAGGACAGCTCGCCAGGGGCAACGACAGGGGGGGGCCAGGTCCAAGAACAAGACAAGCAAAAAAAACATGATCGCTCGAGTCGGCCTCCCGGGGCCCTCGCTGGGCCCTGGGACCGTCAAAAAACGACTCAGGGTGACAAGCCAGTCCCGGGAAAAGGGTCGGGACTTCCAGGGGCCGCGCCTTGGAGAAGTCAGGACGTCGCACGTCTGGGCTGAGATCCTGGC